ACATTTTTAGCTGTAATTTTCCTCTTACACATATTATATACCAATTTTCTCGCCATTAAATGGTTTTTCTAAAGATACCATTATTTTCATCATATAATCTACAAAAAACGCCCATGATTAATAACCCTACACATGTATATATTATTAAAAAGAAGACAGCCTAAGGTATTAAACTTGGAGTATTTTTAATCTTTTCATGCAATTATTTTACCACCAATCTATGCCAAATTTAAAAAAATGGGGATTCAGGTGGGGGTGGGGGGTCACAGGGAGTTTAATAGGATAGCACAAGATATTTATGATGACAAGAGTACCAAGGCCTGAAACATAGAAGTATTAGTAAAACTATACAAGGGAGGTACACGTCTGAAATATATATATATAAAAAAAAGAATACATGTATGGAGAACACCCCAATATGTGTTCAGCAACCTTTTGGGTAGTTTGTTTTTATTTATTTTTCACAAACATTATACTTTAGGCATTGATTGTCAGCTCCTGTTATGTATCACTGCCAAAGAACACCCCAATATGTATTCAGCAACATCTCCTGAAAACAGTGATACCACATATGCATAGGTTTGTTGGGTTGTTTGGGGGGTGCAATGCCGAACCTCTGACATATGTTTTTCAAATTTTACATATCGTCTTTCCCTATCTACTTTTTGGGGGCTTTTTTTTACATATCCCAATTTATTTTCTTGCCATGAATGTGTATTTATTTGAAAAGTTGACCCCCCAATATATTGTATATGGAGTGCTTTGATGCAACCGTTTTAGCCCAAAAAATTGGAGAAAGTGTGTGGTGGTGATTTTTCACCCATGCATAGGTTAAACTTGATCATAAAAATAGTCTGGCACAGTAAAAGTAAAAAGAACAACAACTCAGGAACAGTAAACGTAACAAAAAAAAAAAAAAAACTGAACGGCAAATTAATTTTTTATTTTTTTTTTAAATGGACCAGTGTGTGGTATCGCTTGAAACAGTCCCCAATGCAGAGTCCAGGCTGTCCAGGACAATCAGGACAGTGAAAGATGGTGTCCTTTCTCTGCCCCCTCTGAAAACAGAGTCTGCATCTTCTTTGAGGATTCTGCTTTGTCGCAGTAGGGGTAATTTTGAAAATAAAGTGGGTAGCCCCAAGTCTGCTCTCTCCCATCACGCCCGGGGAGCAGGTGCATCTTGGTACAAAATCCCCAAAATGATCTGGAGCTGAAACTGTTAAAAAGTCAGTTTCATTCCGGGGTTTGCTTTTTTACACAACAAAAAAGCGTTGTGGGTTGCAATCTGCATTAAGTAAATAACAACCTTTTTGTACCAGGCCCTTGTCTTCCATATAATTAGGTAGGGCTGCAGCAGCTGATCTGCCACATCAACCCTACCCATATGCCGGTTGTAGGCCTTGATGCACACTGACTTCCTTAAAGGGACACCGCAGGCACTGTATCTGCTTCATCTCATTAAACTGGTTATAGTGTCTGGAGTCCCCTGGTACCATCATTTCTTTCAGCATTAAACAGTTTTTAATGTTGTAATGTTTTAATGCTAAACAAAAGTCCATCCCTTCTGTGCTGCTTTGGCTAATAAGGAAGTATTACCCTGAGCAGCAATGTGCAGCTGTGATTGACTCAGAGCTCCAACTGACGGTATGAATGGGTATGACAACAAGGAAGTGTGTAATCTCTGCCTTAGCTACACATACAGAAGGGGCCGGACTGTGGGTGGCCAGGGACTCTTATTTTGTGGCATACTGCACAAACATGGTGCAACACTGAATGGAGGGACAGTGCCAGGGCACTCCAGGCACTACAACCAATTCAAAGAGATGAAATGGTTATAATGACTACAGTGTCCCTTTAAGCTCTCAGCTCTGCCACGTACAGAGACCTCCACAGTCCTCTCAGTGTGGATGGTGGTAAGAATGTACACATCCTTCTTGTCTCTGTACTTAACTGCCAACAGCTCCTCCTGAAGCAGAGCTGAGGTCTTCCCCTTTCGTAGCTGTGTGTGTGCAAGTTGTCCTGGGAAACCTGTGTGGTTCTTTTTGATTGTACCGCAAGCTACTGTATCAAAACAATACAGTAGCTTGAACAAAGGGACACTTGTATAAAAATTGTCTGTATACAAGTGGAAACCTTTGTTCATCAGGGGTAATATCAGGTCTTGCCACTGGTTCCCATATGTTCTGGGCAACCTGGAGGGTCAAGGTGGCTATCCTTTCCCTCGTACACCAGGAAGGCCTGAGTATACCCAGTCTCGCTCTCACAGAGCTTACACACCTTTACACCATACCTAGAGCGCTTGGAAGGAATATACTACTTGCATCCCAGCCTTCCCTTATACTTCATCAGGGATTCATCCACGCATATATTCCTTCCAGGTGTATAAGTCTCTGCAAACCTGGCAGCGAAGTGGGTAATCAGGGGGCGGATTTTATACAGCTTGTCAATTTGGGGATGCTCCCTCGGGGGGCACAGGCTGTTGCAGCTGAAGTGCATGAAATTTAGAATCATTTCACGCCTCTTCCTCAACATACATTGGGAGTAAATGGGGGTAGAGCAGATGGGGCTACTGCTCCAGTAGAAATGGATGGAGGGCTTCTTTATGATGCCCATCAGCATAGTCAATGCACATCGATAGGGGCCCATTGCTGCTTTGTCAAAAAAGAGACAGGCTTTGCAGCACGGAACTGATGGTCATATAAATGAGTTTGGGCGACAATGTTCTCAGCAGTACTGCCAGCTGGAGCAGCACGTCTCCTTCTGGCAGGGGGACCAGCAGCCACAGATACATCATAACTAGATACATCACTAGCAGCAGACACGGTTTCTAGTGATGTATCTGAGCACCTGGGAGGGTCAAAATCAGGGTCGGAGTCAGACATAGACGCTTCAGACTCTAATGCAAGGATAGCATACGCCTCCTCAGCGCTATATGACCTCTGTGACCCCTGTGACAAGATCACAATCACTTTATTTAGTGATCTGTCACACACAAAAGACAAAAAAATTAACCCCTAAAAAAATGCACAGACAGCAAAATAAGTGCTGTTGTGCAAGAGCCAGTGATCTGTACAGTGATAACTGGCAGGACAGGGGTTAATAGCTCTGAAAATAACTTTTGGGTCTCAAAAAACAAAAATCACAAAAAAC